CCTATTTAAGCCAGCTTCAAGCTGAACTGGGCTGGCCGTAAATACATATACTAACATCAATTAGAACATAGCTAGCAGAGTCGCGCAATCAAATTCATTATACGTAAGCGTGCTCAAAATCCCGATAGTGCACGCTGATAGCGTCAGCAAATCCGACTTCGCCAGAAATTTTTTTTTCGCGCGAGCGGCCATTGCTAGTGCGGGGAAAAATAATACATTTCGCGACAATAATGGATACAAACAGAAACTCGGCCTGCTAGTCCGAAAACGAAGACAATGTTTCGACCTTTTCCCATGGGCTAGAGTTCTTAAATGAGGCAGAAAAAGAGAAAAACAAAGGAAAAGGAGACTCGGCATCAGCGCCGTCACGATTCGCTTCAACTGATATTGTTGTCCGTTTTTCGCGTCGCATTTGATGCACAATTCCACCGGCTATGTTCTAAAACAATTGGTTCATGCTTTCAGCTGTGCACTATCGAGTTATGGAGCACGTGGGAAGTTTGGAGAGCACTCAAGAAGCTAGAGTTGCCCTCGGCTATCGCCTCGGGCAACTCTTACGCTTCTTTCGTGCTCTCCAAACTTCCCGCGTGCTCCATAACTCGATAGTGCACGCTAAAGCATGAACCAATTGTTAATTAGCATTCAGCAACGAGTAATATTGGCATGCAAACATACGTTATCCCCAAAAACTACAATCCGTTAATGACTTACTGAACCAGTTTTAAAATAATGCTGTTGTAATTTTTTATTTCATAAAAATGAAATAATTGACCTTGATAGGTTTTGTCCTGGTCTAATTTTGCAATCCCTGCTTTTTTTTGTTGGTCTTTTATAGTGCGAGGGGACGAAACCCTGAAATTCACTAGAAAATTCAGTTTTGTTTTTCTTGGTATTTGCTGCATTAGGCCTTTAACTTTACTTTGAAGAAATATTCAGTCCTGTCAAACTTGCACATACATTTACCTTCTAATTCGGTGACCAGCACTCCTTCTCCTTTTTGTTTCTCTAACTCATCTGGAAACGAGCAAAGCTCGGTATAAAATTTTGGCATACTTTTTCCTTTGAAATTGCGACCAATGAGGAATTTCCTACACTTCCAAACTAAGTCAACTCTCTCTAAGCGGACACCTCTTTAAGGCGGACAGAAAATTTATTCCCTGCCGAATTTCACTTGTTTCTCTGTAACTGAACTCTCTCTAAGGCGGACATCTCTCTAAGGCGAACAGCGGACAGTTTTTTTCAACATGTTGGTTAAAAAAACCCCTCAAAGCGGACACCAGATGTTTTGGAAATTTTATAACAGGTCCCAAATTTCGAAAAATTAGCGCAATCTGATAACTCTGGTTTTAATATTACAATACTGTATGTCTTAATATTAAAGTCACTTTTCCCGTCATTTACGTAAACAACAACTCATTTGCGCTGCCGTTTACTGCAATCAGTTGAGTCACTTGTATTCCTCCTTCGCTTTTTTGCGTCCTGGTTCAGCTCAACCGTAGTTGTTGCCGGGGCAGTTTACCGAGGACACTGCGTTGTTTGAGGAATTCGAAAACCTCGTTCAACGTATCGATGGTATCGAGGGGCTTTCGGCAGAGCAATAAGTCTCTGAAGAAGTTCCAACATAAGCACCCGCAGTAAACACATCCACAGATGACTGGCGGGAAGCTCGTCGAGACGAGGCACTTTCTCTTTGTGGTGACGAGGCAGACAAGCCAGCTTCAAAAGAGACCGTAGTAGAAGATAGTGACCAGGAAGAAGTATATATCGAGCCAGTCGAGAGTTCCACCCAGTCGAGTGCAGAAGCCATGAAGGTTGTAGCAGACTTAGAGCGCTTCGCCTTTTCGAAGCTAAAGGATGACTATATGGTGAAAAGTAAATCTGGTACCAAGGGTGCCCGCCTTAGAGAGAGTTGAATGTATACTTAGACATGCACGTACACTAAGTTTTCTCATTAAATGGTCTAAATGAAAAGGATTCCTCATTTGTATCATATTTTAAAAAAACAAACATGTTTACATTAAAATTTTGCAATCATGACCTCACATTAGTGCTTACCGCGCTTATCAGTATACTTGGGGAACAGCTGTCATAGGATGCCAAACGTTGGATTGAAAACTTATTAACAGAATAACAATCACCTTCATCCAGAACTATTTCTGTTATCATAGGACCAAACCCTTTTGACTTGATGCTATCGAGATGCGCCGAAGATTCCATGATCAACAAGCACTTGGTTCTCAGTGGAAGACCCGATTGTGACAGTTTCTATCTCCTGAACAGGAGGCGTCTCAGGTACTAAAGCTGAACAAACATCGTCGCCTTCATTCCTAGGGTCGGCAGTTTTCGTGTTAACATAAATTGACACAACTCCAGGCTCCTGTTTTTCGTCAGCATGCGTTTATTGTCGCTCAGCGTCTTGGCTGATTTCACTGTCGCTTTCATCACCTCCCCCGTCGCTATTAAAATTTTTCTAGAGAGTTTTCATCGTTCTTGTCGTCAGATGTAATCTGCTGCTGCTTCCGCTCAAAAAGACACATGTGGGTCTTAAAATTTGCACTCACATTGTATGAAATTTTGACACCAAGCTTGGACAAATCGACGTATAAAAGACAACGTTAAAAAAACGCAGTGTTTGGGCACTTCGATAGATTTCCCTGTTGTAGCTTTTTTTTCGAACCTGGTAATGACGAACTTTTAATAACATTCCAATCATGTCGAGCTGACTGACTAACAGAGTCTCCTGTTACTTTACGCGGAAAACGAATAAAAGAAAAGTTGCCCGTTTGCGAGCAAACTTTTCGGTGATCCAAAAAGCCCACATCTTAAGATAGATATAAAACGTGAAAATGAGTTTTACTTCAATATCACATGAAGATACATGTATTAAATTTTATTTCCAACCTGCCAAGAACGTGTAAATGTCTTACCCTAATTAGATCGTTTTGTTCCCTTATTTTCGACCTTGCTGTATAAAAAATGTTTAAAAAGGAGATTAACAAATACCATCTGGCAAATAATACCTTAACGTAAAAGTATTTCATAAATTTGTAAAACCATAAATCTTCCATTAAAAAATAAAGTCTTACCATCAAAACTCTCATGATTTTTTTGTTCTTCTCGTGTGATCCATCTCTTCTTTTCTTCTCGCTCAGCCTCTAGTCCTCCTTTTTCCCCTCAGTAAAAGAGAAATTTTCGATCAGTTGCCCACAGAAAACCGAAATTTCATTGAGACTAAAACAATTTTCATCTAAGTGCCGAGGGTAATTCGAAATCGCATTGGTTCTGCTTCATTCTACTTTCTGATTGGTCCACAAGATTTCGCGCCATCCTCTCAAACAATCAGATATAAAACTAAAACCGATGACGACCTGGTCACCCGCGTTTTCCCGCCCTTTAGGCAGTTTGTTTGATCTCTACTGTGTTCTCATTGGCCTCTTGGAGTATTTTCCTTTCTTCTGATTGGCCCTTGCAATAATTTTGGTTTTGGCATTACGACACTTACTCGAAAAGTACTATATTTAGTTACACTCAGTAGTTACGCGAATTGTTCAATCGCAATCGCGCTTTTGGTTTTGGTTTACGACTCTTCTTTGTAATGCATATTTTGTAATGCATGTTTTGTAATGCATGTTTTGTAATGCATGTTTTGTAATGCATGTTTTGTAATGCATGTTTTGTAATGCATGTTTTGTAATGCATGTTTTGTAATGCATGTTTTGTAATGCATGTTTTGTAATGCATGTTTTGTAATGCATGTTTTGTAATGCATGTAATGAAAACATTATCCTATTTTAAAAAATAGGATAATGTTTTCATTTACATCTTTTAGATGCTCACTTGCAGCCACGTAAACCCGTCAAACACAAATAATCTTAAAGTGCTACATGTTGAAAAAAATTTTAGTAATAGACATCTTCATGAACTACCTCTAAGTTGCACATAAAGTGAACCCTGTAAGCGTACGTCTTTATAATGTCACTGGCCTCCAGGCAAACTTTAACTCCCTGTTCATTATTCACTCCCGTCATTCAGTGAGGGGTATTATCGCATTTGAAACTGTTAATGATAATGATAATGATAATGATAATAATAAAACTTTATTTCAGTGTCAAATGTGTTTAGGCGTACAAGCACAAGCTAATTGGGGACACCAATCTAATCAACGATTATTAATCAATTAAGGTCCGGTAATACGGGCATCATTTTTCTTCAACTTGTCTTGCAACATTGTTGCATGCAAGTTGAAACCCTTTGTTGTGCGTATTACCACGTTCGTGACCAACTTGTCTCGCAACAAAATATAGTGTTGCAAATTCGCGGAATCCTGCGCGCATGACTGGTCAGTCGTATGTAAACAAAGATGGCGGCTGCTGAACTTTGTCGGAAGAGAGCGCTTGCAGCTCTCTGTTTGGGCCTTTTGCTCGGTGAAGACGAGGAAAGGCCTCGAAAACGAAATCGGAAAATTTACATGCGACAATGGATTTCCCGGAGAGAGGAGAGAGGCGTTTTTCACCAGCTAATTAGAGAGCTTGAAGTGGGGGATGTCGTGCCGTACAAAGAGTTTTTCCGTATGACGAAGGAGCAATTTTCCTTTCTGTTGGGAAAAGTATCCCCGCTGATCCAAAAGAAAGAGCAGCCATCACCCATTAATTCTGTCCGGGCGACAATACAGCCAGATGAACGCCTAGCTGTAACGCTACGGTATTTGGCAACGGGAGAAACTTATCATTCCCTCGAGTACTCGTTCAGAATTTCACGCCAAACAATTTCTTCAATCGTGTCAGAAACAAGCCGTGCCCTGTACAAGGTAAGCAGGTCTTGAAGTCGTTGATTTATTTATATAACAGCGTCGAAATTAACATATTTGACATACATTTTAATTTCCTATACTACAGGTACTTGCTCCAGAATATCTAAAAGTACCAAACACAGAAAGGGAGTGGGACGCCGTGGCAGACAAATTCGAGGCAAGATGGAATTTTCCGAATGGTATCGGCGCTATAGACGGAAAACGTGTCATAGTTCAGCAGCGATCTAATTCTGGCTCTCATTATTACGATTACAAAGGGAACAACAGCATTGTTCTCCTTGCTGTGTTTGGCCCTGACTACCAGTGCCTTTGGGCGAGTGCTGGAACAAATGGTCGTTTTTTGAATGGACATACGATGTGTCCCACAAACTACGATAACCCTCCAGGTCTTTGTATAGGGAAAATGTTTGGCTCTCGGAAAGTTTCTGGTCTACTTCAACAGCCTCAAGCTCGTCTCCGTCCGCCATGTTTGTTTTAAATTTGCCGCGTCGCCGCGCATTACGACAGCCAATCACAGGCGTCGAATTCAAATTTGTTGCAAGGCAAGTTGAAGCAAAACTAAAATTTGTTGCGAAAAGTAGAACTCGAGTCTACTTTGCGCAACACGTTGCCTCAACTTGCAACACTATATTTTGTTGCGAGACAAGTTGGTCACGAACGTGGTAATACGCGCAACAAAGGGTTTCAACTTGCAATGCAACAATGTTGCAAGACAAGTTGAAGAAAAATGTCGCCCGTATTACCGGACCTTTAACAATATAAATTCTAAAATCTAAAAAACTAATATTAATATCGCGACCTGCAGAGATCACAGCAGTCACTATTATTATCTAAGTAAAATACTCGCAATATCTAATTTACGTATGGTTTTAAACGACTGGAGGCAAGGTGATTGTTTGACCAGGTTGTTAACTCTGTTCCATAGCGCAGGTTCGAAATAACGTATTGAGTGTTTCCCATAGTTAATAGTATTGAATCGAGGTAGATTAAAGTCTTTCTTTCTCAGATTGTAGCTTGAGCTATTTAAGCTAAAAATTTCGGCAACATTGGTGGGGGCAAGCTTATGCCTAACTTTATACATAAGGATAGCAATGTCTTGAAGTCTACGATTAGAAGATGTAGGTAATCGTGATCTTTTGAGGTCTTCCCGAAAAAATAAAGTTAAATTCTTACCATGCCTCAGCACACGCTCTTTCTCTTGGAAAAACTGGTCTGTCATCAAGGTCTCTGAGACCTTTCTAAATAGGAAAAGAAGTGTTAATATCCCTACACATTCTGATACAAGGATGACTTGGAGTACACTACAAATTAAAATCAAAATCGCATAATTGAAGAGAATCTCGCATTCTGATTGGTTAACGGGGCGAGTTATTTAGCATGGAATTGCGAGTTGAAAATGGGGCTAAGTGATATTGTTCCGTATCTTGTTTCTCGCTTAGGATAAAAAAAAAAAAACAATATAATGCTGTTTTCTTTTTTCTTATTTTCAATTATTGAATTATGCGATTTAAGGAAAATTCATTACCTGATAGATGAATTCCGCGTTAAATTGCACTTGAAAACCGATATCACATTTATCGCTTCACTATTCGTGCGATATTGGTTTTCGCGTGAAAACTAATGCCGCATTATCTTGTCAAGTAATTAATTTTCCCATAAAATTAAAATTTCTTTACTGTGTATTTGCTTTTTCATATAATTAGTTACAATAAAATACTCTCCTTTTTTTGATACACCAAATGATATCACACATCGCTTCACCATTCGTGCGATATTGCTTTTCGCATGTAAATTAATGCCGAATTCCTTACTCCCTCGTCAGGTAAAGAATTTTCTCATAAAATTTGAATTTCTTTACCATGTATTTGCTTTTTCTTATAGTTAAATACAATAATTTCCTTTTTTCGATACACCAAATGATGAATGGTAACGTTAGTGGGGCTTCCTTTATTAAAGAATGTGAGTTCGTTTGTAGCAAGGTTGTCGCCATTTTTCAGTTTTTCTTTTTAACTGCTCAATCCCAAAGTGTTCTTGTACCAGCAAGAAGCCAGCCACGGTTCCTTGCTTAAACAATCAGTCATTTCCACAAGATGGATACGAATGTCCCTCTTTGTGAACGCCAATTGACTTTGAGTCAAGGAAATTAAACTCGCTTCCACTGAGAATCTAACGTTTTAATCATAATTAATTTGCGCCAATGTGCCCCCTCCAGCGTAAAATGAAGATCGCAGCTACATCATGTATGGATAGTTAGTGATTTGAGCTGAGTCGGTCGCATTTCTATTGACGAACGTTGTTCGAAAAGTCTCGACTTTTCCTTTTCCTTAATTTTGTTTCTCTTACAGACTTCTATGAGCGTTTCAGTTTTCTTTTGCTTACTTAGCAGATGGTGGTTGTTTTTCTTTGAAATTTTGCGCGGGAAATTGGTGGGCGGCCGGATAGATTTGATCCCCTCACGAATGACAGGCGTTTAATCGCTGTGATAAGCGTTCACCATCGTGTTAGTCTGTTTTACAGTGTAGCACTGCTGACAACATTTAAGAAACGCTAGCTAGGCGTCTTTGTTGAAAACTTTACTCCACACAAACCACAGCAACTTCACTGCTTTGTTCACTTACTATTTTGATGATGAATATGTATAGGTAATCGCATGGGGCCGAGTAAAATTAAGGATTAACATCACTTGTGTTTTCGGAAGTTGCTGAAATTGCCCGAGTCGCTGCGCGACTCGGGCAATTTCTGCAACTTCCGAAAACACAAGTGATATTAATCCTTAATTTTACGAGGAACCATGTGATTACTTGTATATAATATAAGGGGCAA